ATATATATATATATATATATACATACACACACACACACACATACACAGCGCTTTACAGAAAACCTAAATACATTCACATCATTCTTTGCCCCCATCACGAGTAATCGCATTAAATGTTAAATCTTGAATGCTTATCTTGTTTAATAACTATTTCTTATTCTTAAATGTATTTATGTGATGTAACCCCTGGGCAACCACTAAGAGTAAATTCTGCTGAAGTCAGACCAGTACAAGATTAATTAATATTAGTTCATAAGGGTTAATGCATCTAAAGCCAATCTGTTGCAAAAATAAAGTCCAATGTAAAGTGGCTCCTTGCAAAGAAGACATTGCATACTGACCTATCCTGCTGCCTGCTTGCTGATCTCATCAGTAGTGAAGAGAAACCGCCCTTTAAAAATCCTGCAGATTATGACACTTCCAGGAGTGACAATATTCTGGGCCCCGGCTGTGCTTATTGGTTTGACCCACTGTCAATACTTGCCAATACTGTGTCTTGTAGTGGTGTAGGAGCTAGTGGCAGGAATGTGCAGCAGTAAATGAAGAAATTGACTTTCCCAGAAGTGTCAGATTCTGTAGAATCTTCAGTAGGTGGTTCCTCGTCACTAATGCAGAGATTGGTGGTGTACACAGCAGAAGCTGCAATTATTCAATGACTTTATGGCAGGGATACCTTTATTTTAGACAGAGAGTCACTTTAAGTGTAGTAACCTATATAAACCAATATGAATCCATCCTGTGTAGGTCTGAACTCAGCAGAATGTATTCTGAATGGTAGCTTTTGGTTACATCACATAAGAAATACATTTAAGAATAAGAAATTATTAGTAGACAAGGTTGTTGGTGTTTGCTGATGGGTTTGGTGAAGTGACATTAGGGGAGCTGGTTGGTCAGGTTTTGCATCAACAGTGACCTCTCCTTTGAGACCACATGACCAATGAACAAGCATTATCTATATGACCAGCTACCAAAAAAAGAGCCAAAAAAGGTATTTTGCAGTCTCTTGTATCATTTGCTTAATTTAATAGAGCGGCATTACAAGTATTATTTTTGGTTATAAAGTATTGGTCTGCTTTAATACAGAACAGCGATAATTACATAAATGACATTCCAGTTTAATAAACATGTCATAACGGGTATATATTTCTGCATTACTTCAGTAGGCTTCAGCAGCAGAAGGTCCCTAGAAATTATTTAAAGACGCCAGAAACCGTGCTGCATGTTCCCCAACCCTGTGACATTTGGAAAGAAAATCTTTGAACTGAAATGTCAACAAAAATCTCACAGTATATAAATAATACACATATAGCTGTGCCCACACGCAGTGGATGTTTAGGCAAGTCTCTGAAAAAATAAATAGCAAAGATGACAATTTGAATTCCTGCGCCGCAATAAGCGACTGGAGGGCGATTTGTAAAGCGAGGCTGTGACTATGAGTGCATTCTTCTTTGGAGCACAGAGAGAATGGAATTACATTTATACAGTACAAACAAATTACTATTTTGGTCAATTAGAAAATTCTTCGAGGCATGTGCTGCTATTTTGTTACTTGAGTTGCAGCAATAATTTCTTAATTAAAGATCCAACAAAACTCAAAAACTATCATTTCATATTCTTGATTTGTGAAAGTTTTTTAGCCTTGAGCATAACTAAACACTTCGCGCCAAAATCTTAATGTGAGGGATTTCTGGGACTTTCAAAACATCTTGTTTGTATTTTAAATGCAATTGTCTGACTAGGTTCTCTTCCCTATAAACTAGACTGGAGAAGGGAAAAAAAGCTATACTCTTGAATACATTATTCTCTTTATTTTCTACTCATATACCAATTAGTATGTCTTAGGGGTCCATTTAAAAAGCAAAATTATGGTCTTGCCTCGACCATTCTACTGCTTTTAAAAGTTAAAAACAAGTCATATGCTTTGTAAATATGCTAAGTGCTCCTCTGGCCTTGGAGTCCCACTATTAAAGAGAATGAGAAAACAAAAGAAAGCTGGGATGAGAGTTAGTCATGTGACCGGCCTCTCCTCCAAGCATGGAGTTTTCTCTGCTACCTTAAATAATGATGTACTGCAGGCTCCACACCGTGGCCTGCATTTTATGAATGGGCTTCAGAATATAGGCCACAGTGTGGAATAACCTCTTAAAGTCTACTAGAAAAACAGATAGTGAAATCCACTCTCTTTACACAGTGAGCCAAATGCCAGAATATTTATTCTGTACTGTTGCTAGATAATCTATAGTGCTCTGGAAGTTATTTGTCATTAGTTAAATGATTAATAACTACATATTTAAAAAAAAACATCTAATAAATGAGTTTAAAAAAATCATAAGATTAAAAAACATTAAAAACAAGAACTGACCCCAAAATCATAATGGTTTCCCTATAAAAATAATAGTAAAATGTATGCAATTATATGCAACATAATATGCAATATATGTAACTGTTGTTAGCCACTAAATGAATGAGATCCTAATAGGTTGGACTTGATGGACTAATGTCTTTATTCAACCTCAAATACTATGTAACTATGTAACTATGTAAAATAAAAATGAGAATATTTGAAAGAAAACCTGTAGTGGCTGCAAAAAAGATATATTATGGTTGAGTAACTATATAATGCAACATAAGATGTCATAGTACCTGAAACGCATCCTCTCACGACACCATCAGAGACTACTGTTGAACTTGTATGTATAGAGAGAGTAGATCTAACTCCTTCCCCATTTGACAAAACTGTGTCTGAACAACCTCTTGCACTGCTAGGCCTAGGTGTTGCCACATAAGGGAGTGGTGGGGGTTGATTGAGACTCTACCGGCTGTTAGGCAACATCTTCCATTTGGCCAATTATAGTATATACCTGGCTGCCATGCCAGCCAAAATCTCTATAGTTTATGGCATCCTCTTAAGACCCCATTCACACTGAGCGACATGCAAATCGAGCGACGTTGAGCGACGTGTCGCGCGATTCCTATTGGGCTGTATGCAATCAGGAGCAATATCGCTCAAAATCGCTCTAAAAAAGGGTCATGTAGAAGCGACAAGCTACCAGCAACGAGCTACAAGCGATATTGAGCGATATTGAGCGACATTGAGCGACGAGATGTGAACAGCCACATTGAATTGTATTGGTGAAGCTACATAGAGCGATATAGTGCGGAAATATGAGCGATATCGCTACAAAAATCGCGCGATAAATCGCTCAATGTGAACGGGGCCTAAAGGAGAACTATGGGGTTAAGGCTTTTCCCCATAGTTCTCCTTTGGGTAACGGGAGGACACAAACTAGCGTCCTCCCGTCACCCTAGGCTCAGTATACCGCGAGCAGTAACTCGCGGTATACTGAGACGCCACAGCTGAAGCGGATGCCGACAATTGTGCCGGGATCCGCCCAGCTGTGTGACTGACAGCTGGCTCAGCCTATCTAGAGGCACAGCCAGCTGTACCCGCCCCCTCCCCCGTCCGTTCCGCCAGTCAGCGCTGGCGGATCGGAGCGGGGAGGGGGGAATCCAGCCCCTCCCCTGTCACGGCAGAGAGCCGTGACAGGATCGAGAGGTGAGCGAATGCCTGTATGTGTTCGCTCACCTCCCAATCTACTGAGCTGACCTGTGACAGTCTCATTGTCACAGGTCGGCTAGAACTATGAGGTGAGTGAAAAGCACTCACCTCATAGTTCTCCTTTAACAAATTTGTATCTGTGCTTGAACATGCACATTAATGTCTTTACTGGCCTATGCATCAAGGTCTCTCTGTGAGCCCATCACAAAGAGACCCAGCTAAATACATTTTTGCAGTGCTTCCTAGATAACATTCGCAGTATATTGACCAACAACATTTACGAAAGGACCACAGAATTCTTGCATAATGTGCAAGCATACATGCATATTATGGTACACTTATGGCAGACCTTCTTCCCTGGTGGATTGCAAGGTACTAGGGAGTAAGGTCTATGCTCCCCTCGTCACTCCACCCACAGCCACTGTCATCTTCTACCAGGTCTGGCACTTCTATTCTTTGGCCATAGGGTAACCAATGATGACTTAGATGCCTGTGCATATGTGATGGAGTTACATTGTCCCGGCTACATTCTTGGGATCTTGCAAATGGCAGAAATGTTAACGTTACTGCAAATGCACCACAGACAGTGTACACAATGAAAAACTGTAACAGACACTGCCCAAAAAACTCTACTTGCGATCAATAGTTTTTTTTTAACTTTAGTTCTATTTTAAGTGCTGCCTAGCATTGCTTGTATAATTGAACCTACTGACTTCAACAGCAAACTTCTGGGCATGCTTGACTTCCACTTACCTGAAGGATGAAGCTGTGATCAGTAGCATCAGCAGCCAGGCAAACATCTCGAGACCATTCTTCTTCTCCTTTTGCTCTTAGACACATTTCCGTAAGCTCAGTGTTTTCCAGTACATAGGAAGGTAGTTTCTGCTTCTCTGTTAGGCAGTCAAAATGCTCTTGCACCACAACTTGGCCATCTTGTCCCACACAGTGCTGGACTACCTTCAGCTCAATGCTCTCTGACAAATAACTGCAAATGATCTGCCTTCCACAGATTATCACCTAGGGGAATAATAAGGAATGTAAGAAACAAATTAAAATGATTTAAAAAAACAAACGGTACTTTAATCTTCATCATATGTGATAGAGAAGGACAAACGCAGGCCATTCTCCTTTTAGCACAGCAGAAGCACTTATTCTCATCACAGAAAACAAATGAACACCATGACCAATGACAGACCTAATAAACAGGAGTGGGCATTATTATGACAGATTTGGACTTGATGGACGTATGTCTTTATTTAACCTCAAATACTATGTAACTATGTAACCAGAATCTGCTACCCTGCACAACAACCCCTCAACCACATCAAGCCAAAAGGTCAATGTTCACAGAACATTGAATGGACGTTTGCAGTGCATCATCCTACCCTGGTTCTTCCTTTTTCCTGCATCAACATGCTAATGAAATGTTTAAACACCACCTTTCTATTTTCATTACATATCAAATTTATACCTCTGTGCCTCTCTTTGAAAGAAGAGAAGATCATGGCCGGTGGGAGGGGCAGGCAAGGTGCTGTACATAGTTTCAAGAAAACATTACATTCCCTTGCATCAGTACTCCTCTCAAGGGCCCTCAGCCCAGATGCAAGCCTTGGGCTGGCTCCTGGGAGGACTAATGTAAATATTCCTAGGCAGGCGTAATTTGTTATTATTATTATTATTATTATTATACAGCATTTATATAGCAGCAACAATTTACAGCACTTTACAAAACTGAGGGAGACAATACAGTTAACAATGCAATTTCGATACAGGAGGGTTGGGAGGGCCCTGCTCGTGAGAGCTTACAATCTAGGAGTGGCAAGTGATACAAAAGGTAATAACTGTTTGGGATGATTTAATGGAAGTAATTGAAAGGACGGTTATATCGAGGTGTAATAGGCTTCCCTGAAGAGAGCAGTTTTCAGGAATCGTCTAAAGGTGGACAGAGTAGGAGATAAGGGGATAGATTGGGGTAGGGAGTTCCAGAGGATGGGAGACGCTATGAAAAAATCCTGGAGGCGAGCATGCGAGGAGGCGACGAGAGAGCAGGAGAACAGGAGGTCTTGAGAGGAGCGAAGAGGACGGTTTGGGTGATATTTTGAGATGAGGTGGGTGATATAGGTAGTCTTTGCATGTTATTGTTAGAATTCTGAATTTTATACATTGGGGAAGTGGGAGCCGGTGGAGTGATTGGCAGAGAGGAGCGGCAGACAATGAATGGTTAGTAAGATGGATGAGTCTGGCAGCAGCATTCATGAAATGCAGCTGAACTCGACGTGTTGGTATGCATGAGGCCTTAAGGTAATTAAAAGTATTTTTAAGATTTAACTCCTAGGCTTAGTGTCAATTTAAATCAGGTCCAAGTAACAAAGTGAAACTAAATCAGAGAAGTGCGCAGATGAGAATTTTCTGGATAATGAAGGGCATCTTGAGATGCCTACCATTAGGCTGGACATATATATTCAACAGTTTAAAGAGATGACAAAAGTCTTAGTTTTGAAATGAGTAGGAAATGGTTGAAAACCCAACTAGCATCCCATTGAGGAGATTTAGCTTCATTTTCTGTCCTGCAAACACAAAAGGAATCCAAAGGGAAACCAAAATAAGGGCATATCTCCTTTAAGAGAGTCATTATAACTGAAGTTCCATTCGAAGACTTCCTGTCACAACAGTAAACTTTAAAACTGACACATTTTGGCTTTTCCATCTCTGTCTGTCCCAGAGACAATGATCACCAGGAGAAAGAATAAATCTCCTCAGCGGAGACATTGACAACAGTAAAAGCACAACCCCCCCCAAAAAATATATTAGGTTTTGGCACCAAAATGAAACCGTTTTCTACTTCTGATTACTTGTGATGGCAGCATGAATGTAAAATACAAAAGCCATGTTTGCATTGCTGCAATCTGCCCTGTGACACTGTCATCTTTACATGTAATGTAGAATCTCCTGAGGACGTACTTGTTTTTGCACCCCGTTCAGCTGCTCCACTTTTATGATCAGACTTGCAGTCCTGCCCTTATAGTGAATGGTCCGGATAAACGTCCCTGCGTTGTCCACGTTGAAGGGCTCTGACCAGCGCCAGTTTCCCCAGCCCTCGATACAGATGTGAAGCAGCTGCAGGGAGATACAACATCCATTAAACAGTTAGGGTCATGAATACACTGCTTTCTGTCATTACAGATTCATTATCATTCTTATGAAAAGATTTAAGCCTTTCAGCTTCCTGAGGGGGGAAAATATTTTAACCTCCTTGGTGACACACAATTTGTTATATGCTCTTCATTTTTTTTCTTCTGTTGCATGAGCTCTATAGGCATATTTAAAGTTTATTTCTAGGCAATTTTGTTTTGTTTCAGACGCTCTATTACGTCTTTATTACTGGCTGTGGCCCCTTTGGAAAGATTCATCCCTCTATTTGTACTGGTGACAATTGTCATGGAGAAAGAAAGTGAGGGGGAAATCCAAAATCGAAGGACCTACCTACCTAGGAGCGGAATTCCCTTCACTTTGGGAGATTTCCTCTAAGATCCTGTTGCCTTTTTGGGTCAGGAAGTAATATAATATAGTAACGTAATAACCTGGCTGGGTTTTTTAAGCCTTCCCTACTTTTCTACCATTCCCTTCCTTACTTTTAACCCTTCCCTACTCTAGTAACTGTCAATGAATGAGCCAGATTAACCCGGGTTCTACAGATTGGAAAGAGGGGCTTTTGGGCCAACACAACATACCTGCTTGATTTAAATTCATATTTCATGTTTATTAAATACTTGCTTAATTTTTTTTAAAAAGACAATAAAATCCTTTTATAAAACAAATATATGTCTGGGAACAGTTTTCAGATGCTGGTCCATATTTACATATACAAATAGCTTGATATCCATCCATAACGGTATAGAAAACCGACTATGGCTTCCTCAGGAGGATAGACACAGCAAATGCGAACCAGCGCGTTATGGGTCAATGTGGAAAAAAATTGTGCTTGCAGCATTTTGATCGTACTGGACCGCAGGCATAATGCGCCTTGCGATCCCATGCGGCCGATCACATTGCGGCCGGAGGGTTTGGGTACAGTGCCATTCACTTCAGTGGCCCACCACGCCCCCTCCTGCCCCACAAAAAAGTGAGCCGGCCGCAATGCAAGGCAGTGCGTTCTGGCCAGTATCGGGCCGGAAGGCACTGCATCTGGTGTGAACGGGCCCTTAAGCAGCCAACACATCTAAGGACTAGCCAGCTGCAAAATATTCAATTTTTGTTTTGGGATTTAGATACACTTTAAAACAAACATCCTACATAAAGATCACTCGGTCTTTTCTGTGCTATAAATCTTTTTTTAGCTTGCACTGCAGGAGGTCGTGTACTCTGATTGTGTAAGAAGAGCCCCTTCTATGTGCAGTGTCCTTGTCATCAGCCTGAAAACAGACATAAGCAAACACAACAGAGTCAGGCGGTGGGTGGCTTCTGAAGCGATGACTGACACTTGCGCTGCAGCTAGGCCGGCCTGTAATCTTATCACCATTATTAACCACTACAAGATATTTCAAGGTTTACTGTGCTGTTTGGTAATAACAGATTTATGGCCGGGAATGAAAGCCTTCTAGTAACGCTGATATGGATTCACACCACAAACTGATCTTTTTCAGCTGAAAAGAAACAGAAGTTAGTGGAATTATGTTATAGTACTGCAGGCTACAGATACAAAACTCAGAAAAAAACTAAATAATATGTAATATCAATTTATATCCACAAGGTCTCTGCTCCATGGCCAACCAATCTTACAGATTCTTTTGCAGCATTGGAGAGCTACTATCTCCCATCAAAGGAAACACAGCAGATGCTAAAAGCTTAGAGCAACAAATATATTATGAAGTTAACATTTTTATAAACTTCACTGTCTGCAAACTTGGAATGAAGACAACAATGCCTGATGATGACAGATTAAAAGAGAACTATGGGGTAACCTTTTTATCCCATAGTTCTTATAAGGGTCACGGGAGGACATATTCTAGCGTCCTCCCGTGACCCAAACCTCAGTATAAAGCAAGCTATTGCACACTATATACCGATATCACTGCAGCCGGGACGGATCCCGACAATGCTGTTGAGATCCACCCATCTGCTTGAGTGACAGCTGGCTTTGCCTATGTAGAGGCAGAGCCAGCTTTGCCAGTGGGGGGGTCCCTGTGGGGAGCCGTGACTAACAGTCACCGCTCACTGCAGGGAGATGATCGGAAAGTGAGCGAGCGACGGTATGTGTTCGCTCACTTCTCGATCTATAGAGCTGACGTGTGACAGTTTAATTGTCACAGGTCAGCTCAAACTATGAGGTTGAGTGAAAAACACTCGCCTCATAGTTCTCCTTTAAAGGTGTTTCTTGCAGCTTTAAGGTTTTGGGGGTTTAAACAATTTACAGAGCCATTAACTCTGTGAACCTCCAAACTTTTCCTGCAAATAATGGCAAAAATAAACTTAATTTCTTTTAATGTTTATTGTAATGTAATGCCGCACTACAGCCACCAGATGGAGCCTACAAAAAAAAATACAGTAAACTCTGGTATCCGGTATTCAACTAACCCGAACTCTCATCTAACCAGTACTCACTGTTCTGCTGATCTGAGGCATGTATTATCCTGGAAACGATTGTTGGGGGGAAATGTATCAAAGCTGGAGCAGTTGCCCTTGGCAACCAATCAGCTTCTCTCTTCAGTTTGTTCAGGTAAGATTTGAAAATGGAGAGGAGCTGATTGGTTGTCATACACAGTTGCTCCAGATTTTGCCTGCCCCCGTTTTGATAAATTCCCCTCCGTCTGTCTATTTGTCTTAATTTGCTTTGATTACACATTTCAATATTAATATGAAGTCAATACAGAGTTTATGTTATGGTATGGTATGGGGGCATGGCATTAGTTAGACCTATTTTACATAGTATCTCTCAAGCAACCAGAAACTACATTTATCTGGAACCTTCCAATCCCTGTGGATGCCGGATAACAGGGAGTTTACTGTACTTTATTCCGACGCTCCTCAGCTCCATCTAGTGGCCATACTGCTGTATTCCATTACATTCGCCTTGAAAAGAACTGATACTAAGACAATTCATTTCTGCCCGTCTATTTGCACAAATTGAACGTTCAAAGGGATTCGCAGGGCGAATGACTATGCAAATTGTTGATAAATAGACCCAGGGGGGTTAGCCAATAAAGAGCATCACACCAAACCTGCTTCTGTCACCTTTCTACAACACCTTGCTGAATTGATGACAAGCAGGCCAAATATTTTTTGCGTTGATAAACAAAAATAGGGAAGGTTGTTTGCTTAGGAAATTCAGGTTCATACAGTAAAGCTGTGTTCCCTTCAATCATCCAACCATGTGTAAGTTATTTTCTTTTAAAGGGTTTCTAAACCCTCAGCTTTTTTTGCATATATCTACTGCTAGCAAGCAGTAGATATATGCAAAAAGTGTTTTTAAAAAAACCGGCTTTAACAACGGTTTAAACTTACCTGTGTCTTCCCCGCGCGCTCCCGCCGGAAAATGTGAAAATGCTCGGGCGGCCGCAAAGCATCTTAGGGCGAGCGCATGCGCAGTTCCCATTTACGGCCGGGACGCGGGGAGAGACACAAGGTAAGTATATGGACGCGTGCACCCGCATGCAGACACCGTGGGACAGGAAGTGCCAGCAAGCTCAGAGGAGTCAGCGCTGGATCGGAGACTCGCAGCAGCGCTGGAGAGAAAGCTGAAAACTACAGGAAAGAAGAAGATCCGATTAAGAAACATTATTTAAGGTAAGTCCTTACACTAACATTGGGGGGAGGGAAAAAGAAAACATTTCCAATGTCACTTTAATTTCACTTGCGCATGGTTGGATATTCAAAGTGAACATACATTTACCGTATTTACCAGGGATGCACCGATACCAAGTACAGATACTTTTCCAGCTCCAAGACTAGACTAGAGAAAAATTAAAAAGTTAGGAGGCAGCTGTCATTTGTAAGGAGCACACGGAGCTCCTTGGATTTGTACATCTCTGTTTTAATGTATGATTTTGTTTTTATAAATATAAAGGGATGCACCGATGCCATTTTTGCCTGTACAAGTACTGATACTTGTCCAAGTACTCACAGATACAAGTACTGATACATTTTTGTTTATTGTCATGTGACAGTTTTTCTAAAACAATACAGACTAATGATTTCAGGACAGTGGTGGAGCGCCAGAGCCAGGTCCCTGCTGCAACCGCTGCTACCCTGGTAGTTCTCATGAAAATGCCAAGTATCGGCACTGGTATCTGAAAAGTATCGGTGCATCCCTACTAATTACTATCATTCACTTTGTAATGTGAATATACAGTTTACTAAGCAAACAACCTCTACTTCTTTAGTAAACCAACTCCACTGTGTGTATACAGCTAACATAATAGTGAATTTGATGGATATAATGGATTAGTGATGCACACTAGAAGACAGACAAATAAGAGCAGAAAGAATCACATAGCTTCTGCATGAAGTCCCAGCGTGTGTGAGAACTAGAGCCGTATAAACACAGCACTTGCTGACTCACTGTCACTGAGGAATACACTTGTCTGTTTAAATTTGCTAGACACAGACTTGCTGGCACGGTAACTCTCCCTATACGTTACAAATGTAATGCTACTGTGGCTCCACGGTTCACTAAAGACAAAGCTGACCGGGCCAAGTGAATAAGATGACAAGCTTGTGAAACACATTCTTCAAGCTTAACATTTCACTTGTAACTGCACTCAAAAGAAAATTACAAGCATTGTATACAGTCAACGGTTTCCCCCAGGAAACAAAAAATGCCTTGTTACCCATTGCAACCATTTATTTTTATTTAAAGTTGCTTTAATTGTTTACTCTAACAGAAAACAAGATGAATTCTGGGCACCATTTCCTTATCTGAGTATTTATTCTAAATTAAAATATGAATATTTGATTTTCATGTGGCTCTGTATTTTCAAGATAATAACAAATTTGTAAGAGAGATTGGCAGGAACATTCTCGATTAGCTATTTGAAAGTCAGATAGTGGCACCAAGGTTTTTGTTGAAATTAAATCACCTAATAGGAAAGCCACCCAGAGAAAATAGTGTTTTCTGTTTA